CCTGTACCTCCTTAACTGACACGCTTTGAGTGAGAGCTGTCCATAATAAATATTACCCTTTTCATTGCTAGGATCTTGGACTGATGATAAAAGAACCCATTCCTTGTAGTCCCATGAAATTGGTTCCATATTTAGGAGCTTAGCTGCAGAGGACAACCAACCAACATAGAGAAGGACCTTTTTTTTTTTTTTTTTTTTTGGTTCAAAGCATATTCCTTCCCCTGGCCTACTCATTTTTGTATCATGAGCATCATACACAGAACCTAGTTTTATTTAAATGTTTATTGAATGAGTAAATATTGTGGGTAATAGAAATGGCTAACAGTTCTGTATGTGAGTAGAGTTTCATAGTTATATTGAGTCTATGTGAAAGTTGAAATTATATCTTACACTTTTTTGACAACAAAAATAGATACTGATCAACAAATAATAAACATTGGTGTATATTTACTATTATCTACAATTGTATGTACTTATGGAGAATATAAACAATAGACGGTTATTTAATAAGTAATATCAAATATTTTCATTTGATAAGCCCATTCAGTAGGACTTGTCTCTACCTGTCACTTCTGCAACTAAAAACTTCCTGGACAAGAGATTAATAGTATTTCTTTTACTGGAATAGTCTACCTCTTGATTTTCTAAGTGAAAGGATAATTATATCATTTATAATTATGAGCTCCAATGTCAATGTAAAAGCAAAGTAATGCAAATTTGGTTTCTTATCTGGTTTATATCTGTATTACTTAGAGAATATTTCTGCACAGATAATTTGTGACAAGGTTAGTGTATTTTTCGTCTTGAAAAATATATTTGTTTTTCTAGTTCCTAACTAATGGAAAAGCAAAAGATATTTTTAGTGTCAGCTTTCATCAAGTCAGACCTTTCTGTAGACCTTACTAAATTCTATTTCCATAGGAATTTTGCTAATGGGTATGTGCAACATTATCCAGGTGCTTGTAGGTAAGATTACAAATTAAAAATAAAAGAAGTGGATGAAAAAGTGCATCTTTTTAAAGACACTGGTGGAATATTAGTCTTTGTACTTTGATTTTCACTTTGTAGTATTTTCAGACCAACTGCAGAAAGTCTGAATTTGGTATTTATGCATAGATTAGCTTAGACAATATAAGTAATGAATTTCCTAAGTGGATTCTTTGTTGTATTCTTAATACATTATATGTATTCTCATGTACATAAGGCATAAGAAAGAGCCTGTCCTCTAGTCTACATGTTGAGTTAACAATATTAGTGATTTTAATGGATCTTACAAGAAAGTGGAATATTGAAGGCATATTTAGAAATAAACCACCCATGTTTTTTGTTTGTATACTAACTTACTGTAAAATTTTATAATGTAATAAATATCCATGATACAAAATGTAGAAAACTGTTAAAATTCATTGAATACCTATTACAGTTGTTTAGGACTTAACATTAGCCTCTTTCTCATATACTATATTTTTATGGTTTAAATATCATCAATATATTCCTCAAAAAACTAGCATTAGAAGTCCCATTTTACCCAGTTATTCCCCTTCTGAATAATTTCCCAGAAGAATTAAAAATATCACCACACAGTGTTATATGTACCTCTATGTTTATAGTAGTACAATTTGTAATAACTAAATATTGGAAACAACCCAAATGCCTGTCATCTGAGGAATGAATAAAAAATGTGCTAGTTTTATGTAATGGAGTACTATTCAGCTGTAAATAAGGATAAACTTGAAGCTTTTATAGGTAAATGGATGCAACTCAACACCATACTCTTAAGTGAAATAAATCAAACTTGCATGTGTAAACATTATATTTTCTTCCTAATGTAAACAGCTGAAAAAGTAAGATCCAAAATCTACAATAGATATTGTGCAAGGGAAAGAAACTGCTCAAAAGGAAAGAACAAATAGGATGAGTAGAAAGAGAAAAAAAGGAAGGGAAAAGAAAAGAAAAAATACACATACACAAGATAGCTACTGGTTTCTTTTAGTTGATTGAAAAAAAGTTTGTGCCTGTATTGTTTGATCAGTTATGTATGCCTATATCTTGTAATTTGAACAACTAGTTTGAAGATAACTATATGCAATAGATTAACCATTTGTTAGTTTCCTATTATCTTGTTTTGAAATTCTATATCTTTGTTGTTATTGGGGTTTTTTCATTTTAAAGTTAAAAAAGTATCATTAGTATATCAGGGTTCCCAAATGTGTATCTCTTACTTATATCTGTTTTTAGTTTTCCAGGCTTATTTCTTATGTTTCAGGGAACTCTCATGCCTGAAACTGTACTTTTGATTCTCTCCTTTAGACCTGCTAGGAATCTAGTGAATGCTTCTTTGTATGTAATTATATCCCTTTTGCTATTTTTAAAGCTGTGTGTAATCCACATTAGACAGTTTGATTACATCTCAGTATGGTTCTCTTTAGGTTTTCCTCATTGAAATTCTTGCTCTCTTTAAATTTGTATGTTCGTTTGTGACCACAGATTTGGGAATCTTCAGCCCTTACTGTTTCAGGTAACCTGTGTGCCCCTTTATCTTACTCGCAGTTCCTTTCTGTCTTTTCCTACTGAAATACTGACAATGCACAATTGATCTGCTCAAAGTTGTCCTTTAAATCTCTTACACTTTCTTTGCTTTTCGTCTTTCTTTTTTTGTTCCTGACTTGATAGTTTCAAATGACGTTATTGAGAGTTCATCAGTTCTCTATTCTGCCTAGCTAAATCTGTTGTTGAATCCCTTGAATGAATCTTTCAGTTCAGTTACCCTGTTTTTCAGAATGGCTTTTTTTGTAGTTTCTTCTTCTTTGTCATTATTTCCATTTTGTTCATGTATGATCTTCCCGAGTGTGTTGATATATATGCATATTTTTTTTCTTTTAACTCATTGTGTACTTTTATGATGTTTTGTTAGTATCTGTTTCAGGAGTGTTATTTTGGTCCTTTGATTGGGCCATGTGTTCTTGCTTTATCCTTTGTCATTTTTCCTGGGATTTAGGTGTTTTTATAAACAGTCACCTTTTTGCATCTTTACATACTGGCTTTGTATAGGGGAAGACTTTTCATGATACATTGCTTTCCCTGAAACAGCCCCAAAACTGCAGCTCTGGCACTCTGTTACCATTTTCAGTTGCCTTCAAAATCTGGTGCTGGTCCTGTGAGTGCTCCTCGTCAAGCAAGAGAGTAGCCAGCTTCCTAGGCAGCCCCAAGCCAACCAAAACATTGAACACAAGTTTATTCTTCTGTTCTGTCCTCGGGAAGAGCCCTGATACAGAGCCTGTCCTCCTGGTGGCTTCACTGGCCGTTCAGAGGGAGGGGCAGGCACATGCTGTGAGTGCCGCACAGTGCCCACTCCCTCTTCACTGGAACCTCTTCTCAGTTTCACAGTGGCCTGAGCGCCAGGACCTCTCACCGATGGTATCTGGCATTCTCAAAGATCTGTTCTGTTCTATATACTGCTAACTTGGTGTCTTTGTGGAAAGGAGAGCTTCTAACTTCCCAGTCTACCATCTTACTGATGCCACTATATCTATTACAAGAAATGTGTCTTCACAATTAGATTCCCTTTCTTTTCTCAGTGAAACATTTTAGAAAATACCACTTTTGAGATAAAAACAAAGCAAATGTAAGAAACAAGAACCTGGCTTGTCTGTAACTTCTAGCAAATAAATTGTTCACATAACAATTCCACTTTCATTCTCTCCTAATTTTTGGCATGGATGATTATAATGAACTTGCCTTCCTTTCCCCAGAATTCAGAGGTAAACTTCGGTCTGTTATCTCCCTTTAACTGTTGGGAGGACTTACGTACTCATGCTGACTGAAACTTTAATATGCCAGCTAATTTTTCTAGTACGGCTTGTGTCCTTAATTTTATATCATTCTTAAAGGATGAGATTTTATAGTTGAGCTCTTCTTCATTCTTTAAAGCTTCCATACTTAGATGGATGCATGAGAGAAAACAGCTCTGAACTTTGATGCTGTGTGCTTAGGCTCACATTGACTTCCATGGTGTTCGCAGGAGATAACTTGGTTTAAGAATGTTGGCTTTGTCAACAGAAATGGAAATCATTAAAGATAAAACAGAAAAAGTAAGACTATAGAAACTGAGAGTTGGGATTGACAGTGTTAGAAATGAGCACAAACAATCAAGTGTGTGAGGTAGCCCCGTTAGAGCTCTGCGGCTTCTTCACACAACAGTAGGATCAGCGAAGGTGAGACATTCCTGGCATTCTGTCTTCATCAATTTTCCCTTCGCCAGAGAGACCTGGAATAAAATAATACATTTTGGCTGTCTTTAGCAACTAGCTTGAATGTTTCCTTGGAGTACAAACCAACGGAAGCAGGGTAGATTCTGTTAGGTTGGTTTCGGGTAATGTCACTCCTGAATCACACACATATATACTCAGTACTGTTACTTAGCACCTGTTGCACTCATGAAGTTTTCTCTGATACGTGTGACTTGAAACAAAAAGAATGTTTTAAGTCCTGGCTTTCAAAATGTGTTAATTGTTAGCTTTTGCTGAGGCTGTATAATCCTGCATTTAAAGATCATGACTAGTAGATTAGTGCTGCGAGGCAGTGGCTGTGGTCAACTGAAGCATGAATGGCTGGATGAGTTCAGTCCGACATGCTGCCTCGAGTGTCTTTATGTAACGGCATTTGCAAGATTTCAGATGGACTACTGAGAAAGTGCTCACAGACTGTCTGTCTTGAACAAATAATGAAATTATTTTCTTGCTGCTGTATGTTTTATTAACCTTTATGAATCAACTTGAAGAACAGCTGTCCCTGTAGAGCTGAAACCTTTTGCTAAAGTAGAGTGTTATTAAGTGCATTTGTGAATTATAGGAATTGTAAGGCTGAGTAGACTGGGTAAAAAAAAATGTAAACCACTCAGAGAAGAATATTATGGTATATACTGAGGCTAGTGGAAAGAAAAGAAGCAATGCAAATTGTATTTAACTAAATTCTCTTTTCCTTAATTTTCTTCTTTGTAGAACGTTGAGAAAGTTCTTGTGGAATTCAGTCACAAAGAGTTGTTTGACTTCTATGACAAGGTCTGTATTTTCAAAATAATTTTCTGAAATGTAGAGATTTTTCTAATGTTTGATTCATTTTTTTAATTTTTATTCCTAAATCTGAACCCTATTTTGGAGCTAAGTTCTTTAAACATCTTTTATAAGCACCATAGTATGTCACTGTAGGAAGTATAGCCAAGATGAAAAGAATCTGCACAATTAAATCAGGCAGAAAATGAAAATTGTTTTAATTAAGGCAATACGATTGTTGCTTTATGTAAAGCATTAAGTGGTACATTGTATAATATCTAGTTACAGTGACACTTTAAATGTAGATTATGTGAAATACTTTAATTTCTGGGCCCAAGGGTAAAAGGAAACATGGAAATGAAGATGCCAGGTCTTTAAAATTTATCTTTGAGTATTTTTCATGTTTCTTTCCAAATCCTGATGTTGTAAATTCAGGAAAATATACTCTCCCTCCCCCATACAACTATAAAATCTTATTGTGTAATAACAATTTCAAATGAAACAGCTGAATATACTTAAAATAGTATTTAGAAGTTCTGCTTTACAAATTTCAAAAATACAATGGCGAGCATAAGTTCTAACATCTTCACATAAACAATATTCTAAGTGCCATTTTATTGCTATGCATGTAGATTTAATATGCATGGTTACCAGTGCCATTCTTTCCCTTTTATTTGCATTTTTAAAATAGCAGTTCTTGGGAATTTTTTCCTTCACCAACCTTCTGTTTTGTTTTGTTTTCCTTGTACATAGCTAGAGACCATACAAGCACAGCTGGATTCCCTCACATGATGTTTTTGAAGACCACTTTGTCCATCACATCCTGCCACCCATTATTTACTATTGAAGAGACATTGCCTGGCTGTGTTTTCTAGAAGATTCAGTGGCTTGCTTTCTGTGAATTATATGAGGTATCATTTCTTAGATTAATAATATCCAAGGGAAATCAATATTAAGAGTACTGAGATTCCAATAAACAGTGCTTTTTCTATTTCTGTGAGCCAGTAGCAATTGTTAGGAACACGGTTGTTTTACAGAAATCAAAAGTGAATAGTATATTGTTTTTACTGTCATCTTTATTGCCTCACCTGTTTGTTTGTTTATATGCTTGATAATCCCTGTATCAAGGAGGGTCCATGTACAAAAGTTACAATATGTACCCTAGCAGAACACAGAACTTCAGTATTTACGTTAATAAAATTAAGAAAACAGCTACGCGCAGTTAATTATATTATGGCATTTTTTCCTATGATGAGTATACTTTGATTGAGAAATAATATAGGAAAGAAATTTAAAGTAGAACTAGTAGTATTATATCTGTTCTAATGTCAGCTTTCTCTTTGCATTAATTTTTATGAGTTTAATGATTTAAAAATAATTCAGATTTTTATGCTTTTCTTTGTAATGAAAATTAATGATGTCTTCATAGTGTGAGACACAGATGCAGATCATGAATAAAAATAATTGTAATAGTAGTAAATGGGCATCTTTAAAATTCCAGATCAGATACCTTTTATAGTCTCTTCCCTGAATATATTAATCGATTTCAGTCAATAAAATTTTTAGAATTTTAGAATTATTTGAACTGAGTATTTTTATTTTATATATTTTATAATATGTATATATATATAAATGTAGTATAATTCCTATTAACTGAAATCTTTATCTTATATTGTTTATGGGGAGGAAAGAGTTGAAACATAAGATTTTTCACATGAAGGAATTTGATTTCAGGAATGTTTTATAACAAAGCAAACAAAGCTATTATGATTGAAGCACATTTCTCATGTGAGGTAGCTGGGTCATTATGTGTTCCAGGCATTATACAAATAAATGTCCAACATATGGAATGTACAGCCACACTCCTTTACAAATGGATTTGTATATTTACATATACATGTACATGTATACATATTTGTATATACATGTTTGTTGCTTCAAGTACTGCAAGTATGGAACATTTCAGAAAGCAAATATTATAGTTGTCTCTACTGACTGACTTCAAACATTTTTTTTAGACTCCAGTTCCATTTTTAGAATGTACATAAGATGGACCAGGAATGTACCGCAGTGGTGCAGTGCCTGCCTGTCAAAGCACAAAGACCTGAGTTTAATTTCTGGTACCAAAATAGAAAAAAGAATATATACAAAGCATGTTTATAATGTAATAAGATTATATGTGGCTTGTAAGATTGCTTTTTGCTGCTGTTGTACTTTGTTTTAAGACAGGATCACACTGTATCGCCCTGGAGGGCCTCAAAATTAAATATGATAGAGAACTAAAAGTAGCTTATTTTATGTTCCCTTAAAAAGGATGGTTTATACTCTCTAAGAGTATATCTAAACAGTATTTTTGTTAATCTAGCTCAACAATTCTACATCAAAGACTCAAAAAAAGGACCAAAAGGTTTAATTCAACTAAGAATATAATATTCCTGAACGATATTTAATTGAAGGTAAATTTCTTTCTTAAGGCATTATTATTATTAGGATACACCAAGGAAGTGTGAGGGCTCCAAAGAGCATTAAAAACATGCTAGTTTTTTTTATTTTAAAAAAAAGTCCAAGAGGTTAGTGGAACTGAATTCTGTTATCTCAGCAAATCAATATTTATTTAATCTTGTGCCACATAGCAGTGTTTTGGTCAATGGTGAATCACATATGCTTACTATATATTGTATAGTCTAGTTGGGTATTAAGCAACACCATGGACTTGTGTGTAAATATGCAGTGTAATGTTAGCACAGTGATAGAAATGCCTGCTGATAATTTCTCAGAACATGTCCTTGTCATTAAGCCATACATGTTACATGTTTCTTATGAGTGCTTGACATAAAGACTGAATAGAACTAGAATTACTTGCTAATCACAAATGGGCATCTGAGTTAAATACACACTTCTCAGATGAAACACAAACAGCAAATACATACATGAAAAACATTCAACATCCTGGGCCATTCAAGAGATGCAAATAAAAACAACCCTAAGATTCCATCTTACCCCAGGAAGAATGGCTATTATCAAAAAATCAACCAATAACAAATTCCGGCAATGCTGTGGGGAAGAAGGATCTCTTCTCCACTGTTGATGAGAGTGAGACTGATGCAACCACTGTGGAAATCAATGTGAAGATTACTCAAAAAACAAGACAAAACCAAAAAAACAAACAAACAAACAAACAAAAAAACTAGGACTAGAGGTTCCATTTGACCCAGCCATTCTCCTCCTGAGTATTTTCCCAAAAGAATTAAAAGCATCATCGTGCAACAACAGTATATTCATACCTATGTTTTATAGCAGCAGTCTGTGATAGCCAAATCTTGGAAAAAACCCAGGTTTCCATTAACTGATGAATGGATAAAGAAAATGTGATATTTTTATACAGTGGAGTACTACTCTGCCATAAAGAAGTATATACTGAAGACATTTCTAGGAAAAAGAATGCACCATGAGTCCATACTCATAAGTGAAATAAATCAGACACATGTGTAAATACTGAATTGTTTTTTGGATGAGAAACCAAAAGTGTAAATGAGGACCAAAATGTATAATAGGTACTATGGAATACGAAGAAAATGTTCAAATGGGGAGGCAAAAAGGAAATAAGGGAAAAGTGGGGGAAAAAAAACCACCGTGAAAAGAAAGAAAACATTGGAAACAAAGTTTTGTAAATGGGGAGGGGAGGAGGGATTGAAGGGAGGGTAGGGGAATGGGAAAAAAGTTATATCATGTACAGGTACAAATTCTCCATGATAAATGTGATTGTTATGTATATCTAAAATGTACCAATAAAATCTGATAAAGAATTATTAAAGAGAGAAAATGTTCTATTTTTATAACTACAGTAAAGATTTGCAGTTTTCCCATTTTAAAATCTTATGATTATGTTTAATTAGGAAATATCAAAAACTAAACTTGCGGAGTCACATCATCCAGAAATGGTTACTGGTGGCATTTGATAGGTTTTTGCATTTTTTGCTATCCATATATCTTATTTCATTTTTCTTTTCTAACAAACTGAGGTTATGATATGAATACAACTTTATACTTTCTTTGTATAACATTCTAATATGAGGATTTTCATATCCTTAAATATTGCATAAAACAGTTTTAATGTATATTAAAGTTTATCATTTGAATGAATTATAATTATTCCCTTACTAGTGAACACTTGGATTATTTCCAAGTTTTAGCATAATACACACCTCACCTAGTAAATGCCATTGGAGATAGGATCATTGCCTTTTAGTTGAGATATGTCGTTTTATTTGTTTTTTGGGGTTTTTTTTTTTTTTTTTTTGTATCAGTACCAAGGATCAAACTCACGACTGCCTGTTTGCAAGGCAGGTGCTTATGCCGCTGAGCTAAATCCCCAGCCCCGAGATATGTCATTTTAATAAGAAATCTTTCCAAAAACCAGCAGACATGAAAGGCAGTAGAACAGGGATCAGCTATACATACCTAGACTCAGGTATTTATTTCCTCAATAATATTTACTGGGCGCCACAGTGCTGGCACAGGGTATAGTGTGATGAACACCATAAACACAATTTGTGGCCTCTTGAGATGGAACGTGTTGGTCAGTAAAAAGCAGTAAATAAATATGCAGTAAATTGACAAGTTAGAGACAAAGTAAAGTGGATTTTGTTGAGAATAAAATGGAACCAAAATTGGAGGTTATCAAGGCAGGATTCTCGGAGGGGTGAGATGTGAGCTGAGCTCTTCAGGGTGAATTATAATGACACTATAAGAACAGAGTAAAAAGCATAGACAATGACTCTTGCAACATCACAGAAGTTAGCAAAAGCACATTTCAGGAACTAGAAGATCAGTATAGCTGGAGTGTAATAAACAGTGGAGTCATTGAGTGAGCCTTAGTTAGAGATAGACAAGGATCTATTCTCTTATCAGATCTTTTCATTTCTGCTACCAAATATATTGCAAATATATCTTCAGGTCACTGCCCTGTCCAAACCACCATATTTGCCCCAGACTGTCCTGCATCCACTCTAGCCCTTCCCCAGGACAGTCTTCATGTAGAGCTAATGCTTTTTAAACACTGAACCTATTTATACACAATCTGCTTACTTAAAACACTTCCAAGGTTCCCATTATATATCAAATAAGATTTAATTACCTGGCCTCTGGGGCAGTGCAACAGTCATATCCTAGTTCTACAACTTGGTATGTATGTGTTGAGCAAGTTACTCAGCTTACTGAAGTTCCCTCCCTTGGCTTTGTAATGGGAATAGGAGTAATCTAAATTATGACTGGTTTGAGGATTAAATGAGATGGTTCATGTTAAACATTTATCTTAACCCCTGATTCCCAATAATTATATAATAAGTGTTAATGGTGTTTTATAATCACTAGGAAAATAACCAAACTTTCTTTTGAAATAGTTCCAGGTGGAATTTGAATTAAAATCAAAATTACAGGGGCTGGGAGTTTAGCTCAGCAGCACAAGCGCCTGCCTGGCAAGTGTAAGGTCGTGAGTTCAATCCCTGGGACCAAAAAAAAAAAAAAAAAAAAATCAAAATTACAGAAGCTCCTTCACTTTGAATTTATTTGGAGTCCTAATAACTCCACCTTACAATTATCAGTTCTACTACAATGCTAAACTACCTGCTCTTACTTTTTTATTAACAAAATAAGATAATAGATATATGACCAGAATAAAAATATTTTTCCATATGAGTTCCTTTCCACATGGCTCATATGGATTTTAAAAATGTGTTTCTCTAACTCTACACAATGAATTTTGATTTTTTTCTTACCTTCAATGTCTCCTATCTTTATCAGTGTGGTTCAGAAACGGATAGCTAAGACCTATCACATGTCTTTGTAACTAAAACATTATTAGAACAAAGCAGCTTTATTACCAAACTCACTCTAGAGTCCTTTTTTTAGGCTTTGGAAAAACAAGTTAATGTTATGAGAGGCTTTGGACAGGTATAGACGTCAAGGAACTGAGGATGACCTTGGACCTGAAGGAAAACAACAGTCAGCAAAAAGTGGTGATCTCAGTCCCACAGCTACAAGAAGATCTTCAAACAACCTGGAAATGGCTTGCCTGTGAAAACTGATACAGAGAGTGCACCCTAGTAAGATTCTGAACAAAGGAACCGATTTGATTACCGGCACTCATGACCAGTGGTGATCATTCGAGAACAATGTATTCTCAAGCTTCTAAATTTACAGTAATTTGTTATTGTGCACTAGATGAGGGGGAAAGTCATACCCATTGGTTTGTACATAGTTTATATCTGTGTTTACAGTGTAATAGCAAATTTGGGTAGTTAAAACTGAGTGAGTGAGCCACAACACCTGAAATATTTACTGTCTGCTTCTTCATAGAAAAAAATACTGCGCAGACTCCTGTTTTATGTTGTACTTCCTACACTGGAGCATTCTTAAAATGTAGTAGTTATTAGAAGACACAAAAAATTGTAAGATGGATGTGGGGTTTTTTGTTTTGTTTTGTTTTGGGTGGTTTGTTTTTCTTTTGTGAGCACTCTTTCACTCTCCTAAGGGTTTGGATTTTTAAAGGAGGAAATGAACTCCCTCTACCAGTCTTCC